ATTATAAAAATTCTAACAATATCTTTTTAAGATCTTTAAGATCTTTTCAAATATATTTTCGAATTAGTTATATTAAAACTTTAATTATAAGAAAATATAATTAAAACAATTATTCATTTTTGATTTATAACACAAAATATAATTGATTAGATGTTTAATATAATTGATTTTTTAATTTGGACCATCATTAGAAAATTTATTAGATTTTCCATAACATCTTTATAATAATTTTTCATGTCTTTAATTTTTATTTGAAATACAAAAATTATAAAAATTCTAACAATATATTTTTAAGATCTTTTCAAATATATTTTCGAATTAGTTAATTAAAACTTTAGTTATCAGAAAATGTAATTAAAAAAATTATTCAGTTTTGATTTATAACACAAAATATAATTGATTAGATGTTTAATATGTTAAAGATAAACACAAAAAAAAAATTAAAAATAGGAAAAGTAATTTTTCTATTAGATTAGGTTTTTGTTTTCCTATCCCACATGTTAGGGAATTGTCTTTCATATAAATAGAAGTCTAATGAAGAGTTGTTCCATTAGATCTAATAGAGTATGATCACAAGAGATCTAAGAGAAGCATTGAGAGATTTGGTTTTGAGTAATTTTTAACGCTAATAAAAAATATGTTCTTATAATTCTTTGTTTCTAACGATTTGAATTGGTATCATAGCTTCAAGTTGGAGACTGATCTAAGTTTAAGTTGAAGCTAAGATCATGGTGCTTGTGAAGAAGAGATCGCGAATGCAAGATGGTGGACGTGACTAGGGTTCCACACATGAAGGACTTTGGATCAGCATCCATCCAATGTTCGATGTTGACATCGACAAACTACACAGTTTGGTCGATGAGGATAAAGGTTCTGCTGCGTGTTCATGAAGTATGAGACACGATCGAACCCGGTTCAGATGATCAAAAGAAAAACGATGTTGCGATTACTCTTTTTGTTTCAATCTGTTCCCAAAACTTTGATTCTCCAGGTGTGAGAACAAACCGCATCGAGAAACATCTGTAACGCCATCAAGTCACGACACCTTTGAGCTGATCGTGTAAGGGAGACGAGACTTCAGACGTTGATGATGGATTTTGATAGATTAAAGATGGATGATAACAATACAGTCGATGACTTCGTGGGGAAGATATCAGTCCTATCATCCAAAGCAGCCTCACTGGGAGAGAACATAGAAGAGTCCAAGATGGTTAAGAAGTTCTTGAAGGGTCTTCCAAGACACAAGTATGTACATCCATATTGTAGCGTCGCTTGAGCAAGTCCTATACCTCAATTCTACGGGTTTTGAGGACATAGTTGGAAGGCTTGAGGCATACAAGGATGGTGTAGGAGAACAAAATCAGAAAGAAGACCAAGGGAAGCTTATGTTTTCAAATAATGACCAGCAAACTCATAGGAGCTATGAGAGTTTCCGTGGTAGAGGTAGAGGACAAAATGGTAGAGGCAGAGGTCGTGGTAGGTCACACAGCCAAAATCATTTGTCACACACCGAAGAAAAAAACTCGAAGAAGGATCGTTCAAGGTGATATGTTGGAGATGTGACAAGCCGGATCACTATGCAAATGTCTGTCCCGAGAAGTCAGTCAAGAATCAAGAAACCAACCTAAATGAGACACAAGAGACCGATGAACTTTATGTACATGAGGTGTTGTTCTTGAATGAAGACAAGGTGAATCCAAGGAATCTTGTTATCAACAAAGGCGATGCAAGTGTTTGGTATCTAGATAATGGATTGAGTAATCACATGACGGGAAAGAAGGAGTTCTTTCCGAGTTTGGATCAAAACACCAAAAGAAAGCTAAAGTTTGGTGATGGATCATGTGTTGATATCGTTGAAAAGAGATTGATTACCTTCGTGTGCAAGACAGGAGAGAAGAAAGCACTCAGAGACATATACTACATACCCGACCTGAAGCACAACATATTAAGTCTTGGTCAAGCAACAGAAAATGGATGTGAGGTTAAGATGAAAGGCGTCTATTTAACTCTCACAGATTTGTGTGGAAGGTTGCTTGTACGTGTTACAAGATCCTCAAACCGTCTTTACAAGACCCGGATGGAGATCAGCTACCCGAAAGGTTTACATGTCAGAGATGAAGATGCTACATAGAGGGCATGCTCGACTGGGACATATAAGCTATGGAGTGATGAACAACATGGTAAGGAAAGAGATGGTCGTAGGAATACCGTGTGTATCACACTAAGAAGGCATATGTGACGCATGTCTCGCATGGAAGCAAATCAAACACTCATTCCCGAGTGTAACACACAAAGAAAGCGTGTGTGACACATGTCTAGCAGAGAAGCAAATTTGACATTCATTCCTGCCTATATTATTGAAGAAGAAGCATGAGGTATTCGATCAGTTCAAAAGGTTGAAGGAACCCATTAAAACCTTTCTCACCGATAGAGGGGAGAGTTTACCTCAGTTAGGTTCAATCTACTTTGTGAAGAAAGTGGATTTGAAGCTAGTGTGGGCGAGAAGGATTCTATCACAAGAAACAAGGCGTGGGAGCTTGTGAATAGAGCGGCTGGTGTTAAACATACATGAGTATGTAACACAAAGATAGAAACATGTAACAAAATTCACGTACCAATGGACTCAAGTATTGAGTAGAAGGCCAACATCATTACCAGAGCTCACGTACGCAAGATGTCGGAAGTGACCAAAGTTCTCGTCGTAGTGAGCTTCAGCTGCAAGACTCATCACAACTTGAGTGAGGCCAAGTCTAAGAAAAAAGCTTTCACCGAGTATGCCAAGCAGTACGAAAGCGAGGAAGGCAAGAAGATCATATAGTCTCAGGTGGAGAAGATGAAGATCTATGGAACTATCATCCGTGTTTTGGCCCACACTTGGATCAAGAAGATGAAGGGACTGAAGCGGAAGAAAACTCACATGATGGTGATCCAGACCAATGGTGGTACCATTGCCCAAAAGTTTGACCTTGCCTACTGCTTCTTTGAGAAACAAATCCCAATTGCAGTGATCGGTGTGACCGAGGGTAAAAGTTATGAAGGAGTTGTTACTCGTTCGGATGAGAATCTAATGGGGGATTCGCACACTATGGTGTGGTGGAGGATGATTACTTGCTGATTAAGTTCAAGCAAATGAGGAGCTTAAGTGGAGTTCAAGAAATTGATCTCCCTAATTCAAGTTGGAATTAAGGGGGTGAATGTTGAATAATTTTAAGCTTGTGGAAACTTAACATATTATTAGATGTTTAATATGTTAAGGATAAACAAAAAAAATCTAGAAAGAAAAAAATGAAGTTTTCTATTAGATTAACATATTATTAGATGTTTAATATGTTAAGGATAAACAAAAAAAATCTAGAAATAGAAAAATGAAGTTTTCTATTAGATTAGGTTAGTTTTTTTCATATCTCACATATAAAAGAGAATTATCTTTCATATAAATAAACGTCTAATAGAGAGGTGTTCTATAAGATCTAAGAGAGTAGATCATAAGAGATCTAAAAGAAGCATTAAGAACTTTAATTTTGAGTAGTTTCTAAAGTTAATGAGAAAATTTATTCTTACAATTCTTTGTTTATAGAGACTTGAATCTGATGATACACAATTTGAGTAGATGTTTCATCTTCTATTTCATGAAGTCATGTGTGTGGTCTTTTTTCTGGAATATAACACGTGTTATATGTTTTTATTGTATCGTAAGAGTACTCGCATTGAAGGTTTTTAGGTTTGAAGTTCTAAAAAAAACAAAAAATAAAAAAACAAACAAAACAAATCAAAAATATATATATATATATATATATATATATATATATATATATATATATATATATATATATATATATATATATATATAAGTATTTAATTTTAGATTAATTTTACGTGAAACACAACCAAAATATAATCCCAAAAAATATAGAGATAAATTATAGGTTTCATACAAATATTTCTAAGGTATGTGCCAAGCCCGGACTTGCACATATATGATTCATGTGTGAAAGCCCATTTACATATCCAAAAAAAATTATTTGTATAGTGGACTTCTATTTAAAAAGTTAAATTTTTTAGCTTTTTACACATTAAAAAACATATAATTTTAATTATCAATGCATCATTTATTAGAGATAACAATTTTCTATATATTTTAACCAATAGAATTTTATGAAACACAATTATAGTTTCTAGAATGTTAATCTTTTGAAACAGAGAGATTATATAATAAAAATTCTATGCAAGCATATCCAGAGAAAATGTCGTCTATTACCAACCAAACAACCATTCTTTTCCTTTGCCACTACAAATCTTAAACTGTATGCTAGCTAAAGAAAACAAGTTTTGTGAATGTTTTCCCTTTCCACGCAAATCTAAGAAACTAGAAGTCTCTTATTTTTGGCATATTTGGTTTTGAATATAAGAAAGGAAAAAATGGTAGATGCATGAACCTTTTGACTTGATCCAATATTACTTAAAAAGTTACGTTAGAGTATTGGAATATTCTGTAACTGATACATCATACATGGATATCATTCAGTGACATTCAGTGACTGCACTGCACTATCACTTCGATGTCATGTTAGATAATAATTCTGAATACACGATACAGATTATTCTTGCATTTCTCAATGTATTTTAAGAAATATATGACAGTTTTACTAAATATATATAAAAAAAGTGAAAGATATATTATTTGCAAATGTTCTTGCATTTCTCAATATATTTTAAAAAATATATGACAATTTTACTAAATATATACTATAAAAATGGAAAAATATTATTTGCAAATTCCCAACCAAAGCTAATCAGTACACATTTGTAAAACAGGTAAAAGAATAGTAATTGATTTTGTTTCTGCTCTTAATTACTTTATTTTACATTTCTCATCTTATTTTCTTATATAAACTAAATCTACAAAGCAACCACCATCGGTGATGTAAAAGTATTAACATACACCTAAGAAATCACAAAAATATCTATTCAATCATCATTGTTTCTAAGGGATCGTAGAGATGGAAGAGAAATTTGAAGATTGGAGAGGTGAAGAGGCAAACCCTGGCAAGCATGGTGGGATTAGAGCTGCTTCCATTGCTTGTGGTAAATTTTTTTTTTTTTTTTTTTTTTTTGGTACACGCTTGTGGTAAATTTCTTAAAGTCAACAAAAACACCCTTATAAATTGTACTTACATTATTTGTAAAAGATTTGGTGTGTGTGCTACTGTAGTTGTGGAGATGATGGAGAATATGGTGTTCTTAGCATGTTCAACTAACTTCATCACATACTTCACGAAGTCATGGCATTACCCATCAGCCAAAGCATCAAACATGGTGACCAATTTCACAGGAACATCGTTGTTGCTCACTATCTTTGGTGGTTTTGTTGCTGACTCTTTTCTCACACGCTTCACCGCTTTCGTCATCTTTTGTTCCATTGAACTCCTGGTAACTAGGAAAAAATCCATTAAATCATTTAAAATAGTCAAATTAAGGTTTATATATAACTTAAAAGCTCATCCTTTTTATAGGGTTTGATCTTGTTGACCATCCAAGCTCATATCCCTAAGTTACAACCACACGGAGATAACACTCCTTCGACTCTTCAATCAGTGGTTCTATTCACCGGACTTTATGCAGTAGCTATAGGTGTTGGAGGTGTCAAAGCCTCTTTGCCTGCTCATGGAGGCGACCAGCTTGATAGTCGAAAGCAGGGACTAATCTCAGGATTCTTCAATTGGTACTTCTTCTCTATCTGCTTTGGAGGTTTCATGGCCGTAACAATTATGGTTTGGATTGAAGAGAACAAAGGATGGAGCTCCAGCTTCGTTATCTGTACCGTGATTTTGGCCTCTGCTCTCTTAATCTTCACTGTGGGATTTCCTATGTATCGGTTCAAGCGTCCAACGGGAAGCCCTTTGACCAGAATTGTGAACGTGTTTGTTTCTGCCGCAAGAAGCCGAAATAGGTTTGTAACGGAAGCAGAGATGCTGCAGAATCATAACTCTACCGGCAAAAGCAATCATCACAACAAATTCAGGTAATGCTAAACGCGTATTTTTTTTATTTTATATTTGCACTAACATAATTATTAATTAAGCTTTGTTGGCTCTGTTGTAAAATAGGTCATCATTAAAAACGCATAAATTTCTTTTGTAAAATTATTTTAACAAAAGTTGATTTTTTTTTGACAAATAGTTGATTTTTTTCTGACAAATAGTTGATTTTTTTTTTTTGTAACTTAACAAATAGTTGATTTTTAGGTTCTTAAATAAAGCGAAGCTCAACAACAATATCTCAGCAACAGAAGTTGAAGAAACAAGAACGTTTCTAGCTCTCCTACCAATCTTTGCGAGCACAATTGTAATGAACTCTTGCTTAGCTCAACTATCAACCTACTCCGTGCAACAAGGCATGTTTATGGACAAAAAACTCTCGCAGTCCTTCGCGGTTCCTACGCCTTCTCTCAACGCTATTGCTCTCTTATTTATGCTCTCTTCTATAGCTTTCTACGAACTCTTTGGGAAAAGGATCTCCCCAAGCAATAACGAAAGGTCAACGAGCTTCAATTTGAAACGCATAGGAGCAGGCCTAGCTCTTACCTCTGTTTCAATGGCCATAGCAGCCATCGTGGAAGCCAAGAGAAAATACGAGGCGGTTCACAACAACATCAAAATCTCTGTGTTCTGGTTAGAGTTTCAGTATGTTCTGCTGAGTTGCTCGGATATGTTGACTCTTGGAGGAATGTTAGAGTTCTTTTATAGAGAATCTCCGGCGAGTATGAAGAGCATCAGCACAGCGTTGGGGTGGTTCTCCACCGCATTAGGTTTCTTCCTAAGTACGGTTCTTGTGGATGTAACTAACGCGGTCACGGGATGGCTCGACGGAAAAGATGTTAACGGCTCTAGGCTCGAGCTGTTTTATGTGGTCCTGTGTGTTCTTAACACTCTTAATCTTTTTAATTATATTTTCTGGGCGAAAAGATATTAAGCAAAAAAAAATGAGACCAAGTATGTGCTTAGCTTTTTTTTGTTGTCAAAAGTACTCTTTAGTTTTGTTAAAGTTTGGCATAATCTTTTAGTGAAGATGCTAAGCATAATGTGTGTGTTCTCGTGATGTAGTGGAAGTCTAAATCAAGTCACTTGTGTACTTGTTTCTTGTGGTGGTTCGCAAGATGGTTGAGATGCCATTGTAATAAAGGGACGAAATAGTAACTTTCCCATTTAAAGCTTCTTAATTTGTGATTCTTATCCGAGACCTTGTGGACGAGTGGTAAGGGAAAGGGTTTCAGACGCTAGCACGTTTTAGGTTCAATCAACCTGCTGCATTAAACTATTTTGGATATTCACACTATTCTGGATATTCACACGGATATAAATTCATGTTTTCGGTCCATTTAAATACTTGGAGAAAAAAAATTACTTATGTAATATACCTCCGGTTATAAATTAGTCTGAGTTTTTCCATAGACTTGAGATACCTTCAGATTAATCAAAATACTTTTTTTTTTTGTTGTAGCTCTATCCTGATTAAGAAATTTTAAAAGTAACGTTTTTAAAGAACAAAATTTTCTTTTAGCTAAATATGGTGAAGGATAGCATAATAACCAGCACTATATTAATAACTAGAGTCGGTACGTGTTACACGCAACATATATGGTTACATGTGATATGTGTGACTATATAATTGTATATTTTCATTGTGTGTATTTTATGTAAGTTTTTACAAGAACAATGTATATTTACGTTTATGGTTTTAAATAATATTAGGGTATGTGGGAATTATGTATTAGGTGTATGTGGTTTTCTTATTATATTTTTAATAACTTGTAATCCGTGGTTTGTTGGTTAATTGTGGGTTGCTATAATTTGGGGGTTTTTAGTGTGTGGGCATGCATTTTCAGTCCTCGGCTCAACCTCCATTTGCATGTGAATATATAAGCAGCAGACTCAACGTGTAGAAACTTATTTGAAGTATCTTAGGTCGGAAGCAGTTTTCTGAAATCCAAACCAGATACGCATTTGAACCGATAAACCGCTGACTGAAAATAAATTTGATTTGGATTTTGTGGAAAAAAATATATTCAAAAATCTAATTAAATCCAGAAAAAACCTCTAAAACCCGGAACCTTGTTACCAGTGGAACTATTGGTTGAGTCGATAAATAATTTTTGAATTTTTTTTTTTTAGTTTTAGTTATGTTTTTAGTATTTGTTTATATTCTAAATATTTACTTAAGAAGTTAGCTTTTCAGTTTTATTGTCTTCTTCTTCTTCTAACCAATGCCGACTCCATATCTCTTTCTTTTTTTTTCTTTTTTGATTATTATTTTTATCATAAATCTTGTTTACTATGTTTTGCATGTTCTAAGTTCTACTATGTTTTACATTCTTTGTCATGAATCGCATGAGTTTATATTATCTTTGTTTTACATGTTTCTAATAGTTTGGATATGTTCTAAGTTCTAATATGCTTTTAACAAAACTTTAAGTAGTGTAAACTATTTTTTAATATTTTGTATGTCAAGTGAAAATAAAATATAATATTTTAAAATGGTTTTTAAAACATAAAATATATACATATCTGTTAAGAAATGAAGATGGTGGTTGGGACATATCCGGAAATGGACCAGACCATATCAGTACCATACCAGGCGGCCAAGCATCAGTCACTATCCTCCCTTGTGTTTATCCATATGTTGTAGTTATCCTAATCATTATAGGATTAGGATAATCATCCCCTTTATTGTTGTAATCCTTATCTCCTAAGGAATATGCTTTATT